TGAAAATTTTCACACATAAATTCATGTGGATCTCAAATACATGTATGAAAAAGACCTATTTATTATTATGTACTACACAGAATAAAGACTACTTGTTTACTGATAATGACTCTCAGAATCTTCAATGCTACATTTTTCATCTTTCTTAGCTACTCATGCCCAGTATCATTTGAAAGATTAAAATTTTCATTTCAGCACTGATATTCACTGATAGCACTTATGTATATCAAGAAATCCTTCTGAATGGTTTCTGCATATTTTTTGGTACTGAAAAAAGTCAAAATCATAATATGCCACATTATAAGCTGCGTTATTTCATACGGCATCACATACCTATGAATAAATTTTATGAAATGTTAGTTCAAAAGATTTGGAAAAAAAGGACACAATGCTAAAATCATAAATATCTATTAAACTTTTATAGCAAAATCATTTGTGATATTTCTCTATGCACTGTAATTTTCTGAAGCAAATGTTGCAATATTTTCTGATCACCCCGTACAATACCAACCTGTGTTTACAACCTGTGTCTGGAATAGTTGGATTATAGTTTGTGCTGTATTAAAAATCTTTGCTAGAGACTAACATCTAATGATACCAATGTCAAGCTTTAATTAAAGTAAACAATAACACCAATGTCAAGTTTTAATTAAAGTAAGGAAAAAGTCAAAACTATTATCAGCTCTCTGACATCTTAGAATTCTGACTGCTATGTACTTCATTTGCTGACTGCATAGATACCATTAAAATAGAAATACGTATATGCACATAACCATAATTTGATCTAAGAATTTCCACAAAATACTGTACATGGTATTAGCATAATAAAACTAGTACTTGTAAAAATACTTTATTCATAAATATATGCACAAGGGTGAACAAATAAAATATACATAAATATAGATGAAAAATATAAGTATCATAAAAATTTAGTGCTTAAATTTATTAGCACATTTACAGGCTCCATCTGTTATCTTTCAGAGACCTAACGGATTGTTTTGAGTAGGGACCACACAAATTTGGAATGTCATTTGCAAGAGACCTCATATTTCAAAAATCTTCAGGTTTGATCCTGATTTTCAACACGCCTAATTTTGATGAACTCTTCAATGCCTACAATCAAGGATAAAATTAATTACTCATTGAAATCAATACTTAATACTCAATTAGTAAAGGCTAGAAACTGTCTTTATATGTAGACTAATCATTAACTAATTAAAATTCCTCAAGATCTACGCAAATTTTCAAAAGTTCTATGTCCTTTTTTTAAACAAGTTTTTTTAACAACCCTTGGGGTACTGATTTGAGAAAATATTTGCATGTAGAACGGATATAATTTTTGGTTGTTCATTCAGTAGCTACTCACTATCAGGAGTATAAAGGTAACAAAATTTATTATTAGGCAATTCACTAATTTCTAATCTTTTCTTATTCTGTCACTTTATTTCCTTTTCATTATCCGTAAATATAGAAAGCTTGAAATATCAAAACACCTATCGCATGCCATAGTGCTGGCAAAAATTAAGTACTTATTGGCATTCTTTTTGACCAATACATATGCATTTTTGGCTTCTTATTTGCGACTCAAGAGCATAATGCAATATAAGCTTTCATTTCATCAGAAAATTACAGGAATGATCTTTTTTTTTTTTTTTTTTTTTTTTTTTTTTTACACAACCTTCTTTTTCTATCCCTTGTCTGGCATATCTTCGTCTCTTCTTACTATAGTATCCAAAAATCTTCATTCAAGACTTCTTTCAAAACATCTAAGGCGTAGGATTACACGTAGTCTACGCAGCTCAAGGAGTTTTCCAGATATTTCAGACAACTTTTTATATCGGCTACATTTTCTCTTCCTAATCCATTCCTCTGATACTGGTTCACGAAAGATTCACTATCACTGCTCGATAGACGTCTTGTGTGTCTTCGAAACCTTGGTTTTATATTACAATGTCATCATTTTCTGGTTCACGAGAAAGTCACTATCATCTCGATAAATGTCTTGTGCATCTTGGAAACCTTGGTTTATATTACAATTGTCATCATTTTCTGGTTCACGAAAAGATTCACTACACTCTCACGCCGATAGACAGCTTGTGTCTTCGAACCCCTTGGTTTTTATATCCCAATGTCATCATTTTCTGATTCAATATCGTCTTCATCACCTTCGCTTTGTGTTTCATTGTAATTGGTCAATTTCAGGATCACTAAACAATTCTTCTTTAGATTTCAAAGTCACTTTCGCGCTCACTATCATAAATTATATTTCCTTGTTTCTTACATAATGGGGGCAGTTGTATCAAAATAATGTTCACTGAATACTGTAATTGCCCTCTTTTATTATGACTGATACAAGCTACAATGAAATGAACAGAATTGTGCCTAACTTCAAATAACGTAGACACATCATCCGCTCCTAGGGAAAACACGTGAATGACGTCTCTCAGATGTCAAATGTACCCAAGAGTTTAATTTTTGGTTTGACGTCTTAGACAAGTCATCTGCCCCTAGGGGGGGAAGTGAATGACATGTCTCAGACATCAAATGTACCCAAGGGGTTAAACCAATACAGAACACCATTTGTACTTTGTAAAAAAGAAAATTAATGCTTAGAAATCTCATCTGCAAAGAACGTGAAGTTCAATGGACTTCCATAATCTTCATTTAGTTCCGTTTATTTAGCTTGATCAGTTCTATAGACATATGGGGAAAGAGCTAAAGAAAAGGTGCTCAATTCTACAAAAAGAGGACACATGCCTTTTATTGGACTCACGTAAAACAAAGTGAGGTCCAATAAAAGGCAGGTGGTTGGTAGCTCAAGGTCAATGCTATTACAGTCTAATGGGATTTAAACCTTTGCTGCACAGAAATATGAAATTTTTAAGTCCACTCTTTTGGAACATGTGTGAATACTTGCCACTAGCAAGATCATCAAATTATAAGAACAATACTTATTTATACATTCAATATTAATTGTCAGTTGACACTATGTATTGCTAATAGAACTTCTATTATGTTTATAATAAATTTGTTTTAGTTCTTCATGCAGTCAGTAATATGCAAGCCAACCAAAATGTAAACCTAGTCAACTACCAATCCTTGCATGGTGTTATCCCATAAGCATAGTGCTAAGCTATCACCCCTATGTCACTGACAAGGAATTTGAGAGATTATGAGCAATGGCACGTGATTGGGAAAATGGAAACAAGACATACATTGTCACAGGCCTGTAAAGACCTTAAGTACCCAAAAAGCATCATGTCAAAAACCTGGAAACAGTTTGAAGATACAGGTGAAGTATGCAGACAGGACCATTATTTAGCAATGAGTGCTAAAAGAAATAGATAACTGATGTCAGATCTGACTGCAAAGGTGTTTGCTGCTGCAATAGAAACTCAAATATACAGATACACTGTGAGTGACAGGCTGCATAAAAGAAGACTGAAAGCAAGGAAACCATGATTTGTGTTGCACTAACTCAGGCTATGAAATGTATCTGATTGCTATGATGCAGAGATTGTGATTGGAGTGCAACAGACTGGGGTCGAATGTCTTTTTCGGTGAGTGTCTTCAGAGTGATTTTACATAATTACAATCTTGAGGGAGCAAAACACATGCAGTAAGCCTAAACACATTCGTGAAAGGTACTGGAATCACAGATGAGTGGGTATCATTCTGAACATTCAACACTGACCCACACATTTTTAACAATGAAATAATAAATGCTAAAATATATACAGATAATGTTCTTGATCCTCATGTAAGTTGTTTAAAGGTGGAACAGTAATACCTTCTTCCTAATCGATAATAACACTTGTCCTCATTGTGCTGCAATAGAGATTGATTAGCTCTTGAGGGCATGCGAGATGCACTAGGATATCAACTTGTATCACTGCAGTCTTCATCTAGCACTCTCCAGGAGCTTAAAGGCACTATTCATCGCAAATACATTTTGTCACCGCAGGAACTCCAGGACAATCTAATACATGGCATGGGAAAATTACTGCAAGGCTTGCATTTCTCTCAGGAGTGACCACACACTTTATATTAATTTTTTCTGAATATCTTTAAAAAGTTGTAACACCAATGTTTCCCTATCACATTTTATATCATACTCCTTATCACAAATTATTATTTATTTTTTCAGAAATAAGGAATTCTGCATTAAGTTATGTCAGGCACCACAAAATACAGATCTTGTGTAAATACCATATACTTAACAGAAAATTATTCAAGTTACATGAGTTTTTATTTTTGTTCCTTTAATTTGTTCAACAACTGTATATTACTTACTACTTTCCAGCACATGACCTTCCAACACTTAACTTATGTTCTAAGTTAAACAAGCTCTTTCTTACATGTAAAGGAGAGCACAGTGGATAGTAAACAATGTTCTAAGAGTATCTAGGTCTAGTAATTAGTGTGCAGGTACAATTTACACAAAAGTTTTGCACATTTTTGTGATATTTGCCATAGATTTTTCATTTACTAGAAGTATATACTGATTAATCTAAAATATTTAATAATAAAGTTGCTTGCATTCCCTTTAAGTTGCATGTATGACAGTTTGAGAAATATCAATCAGTACATATAAAAACTCATAAAAAAACATAGTTCCATGAAGTCTTCTTGAGGATTTGGTGTTTAACTTCCACATACCATCCCCCTGAATTATAAGATCCATATTGGAATAGCCTTATCAAAGGTCATAGTGCCACCATTGACTGCTGGAATATAATTAATAATTAAACAGAGAAAATTCTATAAGATCATGTTTAATTTTTTGACACAATCTTGTTGGAATAAAATTTTACTCAAAGCTCAGTTATTTTTTATTGGCATGTCTGCAGATAATTTAGGAAGGCAGTATCTAACTATGACAAAAATATAGTTACAAAGGAAACTTGCTAAAGTAAGTCTGCATATTTATATAAGAACAGTATGAAAACATTTTTTAAATCTGCTTTTACTTTTATTAAAAAAATTAAAATTCAAAGTACTCACTTCACTGCATATAATATTTGTCAACATCTCTTCATAAGCAGCAGAGGGAAGGTTTTTGTTCAAGGTATGTGTGGCTCGTGATAATACAGTTGCCATTGCATAAATATCAATAGCAGCATTTGCTAATCTATTCAGAAGGAACTGCTCACCTAATAAGAAACAAAGATATTTTTAGATGAACAACATTAAAATATTAAAAAACTATGGATATTGTAATTAAATAGGCTATAAAATAAATAGATTCGTTAGACTGTGCCTCCAAACAAAAAATGAATGCCAAATTTATGAAGCTCTTTGATTCATTGTCATACTTAGCGATTATCTATAATTCTTTTCAAATTTCTAATTTTTTATTGCACATATAGAAGAATTTTAATGAAAAAATCTTAAGGTAGCTGTTGTACATAAACTAAAAAATCTATATTAAAAAATAAAAACATTTTCATTTATATAAAGTGAAGTAAAAAATGAGATTCCATTTCCTCAGAACTATAAAAAATCATCTTTCTATATGATGAAATTTTTGCTTTTGTTATACTAACATTTTTATAAATTTAAATCGCATTTTTTTTGGATAGCCCAAGAGCATACATTCATAAGTGTCGCTGTAAATTATGATAACTATAGCCTGCAAAAAAGTTTATCATAACAATCTTTCAAAACAAAGACTTAAACTCATATGCCTTGCACATGATTACTTCGAACCTATGGAAAGTATTACAATAAAATTGCATTTAAAAATGTTATGAATTAAACATATCACCATTCACATGAATGAATAAATTATATCAATCAGGTATTTTTTTAAAAGCCATACTGTGTTTAAACTGTTAAGCTACACATAGTTCCAACTTGAAAGACATTACTTTTGAAACTTAGTAATTTGTCAGCTGACATGGCAGATCAATGCACTGATAACACAATGTAATATAACACTGACAGACACAAGTAGGCAGGACACAAGAATTTCATCACAGGCTGTACAGATATAGTCCCACAGTCCTAAATATGCAGGTCTATGCACAGAGGCCATACAATTACGAACATGAAACTTCTCCGGGATTCAAATCCAGGTCCATCAGAACAGCAGCCAGATCACTAATCACTATACCATCTGGGCAGCATATAACAGTGACAAAAGATGGAACAGCACCTTTCTTAAACTTAAATTGTGACAATGCTGTTTCTCTTTCCAAGGCCACTACAGAAAACATATACCGACAATTGACTATATATCTGATAGTATTTGACTTCTTGATAGAAATGGTTTCATCTTTTGAAATATTTGGCAAACAATGCAATGAAAGTTGTTCTTTTACTACACAGAAAAGGCATTATTTTACGACATTGAATTTGAGGAAGACAGAAGTTCTCGAAGGACAGCTTTTTCTTTTCATATAATCAGCACATTTAATACATGCCTCTTTCAAAATACATTTAAACTCCCTTTTTAATTGACTAACCTTTAAAGAATTTTCAATAACGTTTGCAGCCTCTACACAAATTAATTAAGGAACGTTAACCTTCAAGATTACCATTTGTGAAGATTGCTAGTCCATACATTTTGGATTTGAGAAAGTAAAAAATATAAAATTCTAGACATATCTACACCACAAAGTTTACAACATTTCATCCTATTAATACAGTTAAATATTACAAAATTTTGGCTATGTTAAAAAGTTATTTAACACTGATGCAATACATCCAACTACTCCAAACTATAAACTTCACCATAGAAAATTTCAGCATGAACCCTTAAAACAGAAAGATAGGTTTCTTTCTCCTTTCATTTTTCTATAAGCTTTAAATAAAAAACTTAACATTGCTTCTAACTTCTCCAACCTGTCAGTTGTTTTTCATAGATTACACATTATCTGTAGAAACACAAGAAACAGTGGCAGTAACACCAGAGGATATTAATAAAAGGTGGCATAGGAAAAATAATAAATGATTTTGAAGATTAAATATTTCTTTTCTCAATACAAACATTCACATCACTTAATCTGGTTGCCAACATTTGCAACTGATTTTCCTAGGCACTTACAGTAAATAAAAAAAATTCTTTTTTCACTTTCAGGTATGTGTATGATACAATTAAATCACATTTCACATGCAATTAACACATTTCTAAATTACACAGCCTACTACATTGAAATTCCATCAAATGCAATATATGTAATATTAAACAGGTGTGTACTAATTAACTTAAGAAGATACTCACTGACAATATTCTTCCCATGCTTTATAAGTAATTCTTCCACTGAAAGACCAAAGGCTTCAACACATTTGGAAAGCTGAAAAGAAGTTACAAAATTTAATCATTCAATAATCATCATCAAAACACTAATGAAAGGGTGTAACTGTTACCCAGATTGTGGTTGCTAACACCTGCAATCCAAACTCCCTTTTTCAAATACTGTTAGAGATATGAGTAAATATTTATTTTCAACAATTGTGTGTATATAATATACTTGTGTGTGCATAAACGAAGTTAATGAGTAGTTAAATCAGTAACAATAAAAATGATCCACATGTGATAGATTTTAAAGATAAGGATATTATATTTCTTCTTCAAGATGAACAGATAAGTTGAGGAAAATAAAAACCAATGTTTGAGTTATACAGGACCATCAAACACCAAAGATCTCTAAAAGCTTAGAAACAGGTAAAAAGTATGTTTGTTTGATTATGACAAAGCACTTGCAGGATATTTATTTAAGGGAATATATATATACACATTTTTCTGACATAATAGAAAACATGTTTCAAATTTTTTTGAACTGGTGACCCAAAACAAATTCTGCAATTTTCAGAAATTCCTTGAGCATTTTCTTTTATAGTGAGTAGCATGTGAAATAATAAAAAAATTACAAACTGCTCTCCACAACTGGCCACATTATACATAGCTGATGTTTCAGAACTTAAAAATGCAGAATTATTTTCTATTTTACAGTTCATTCTACCATTTTCAGAAATATTAAAGCTATCTTCTGCAGTTTCTTAGTGATTATATTGAATATTATAATCTTGGAGATTGAATAAAATTACATTTTTTTCCCTATCACCACACAGTTTATGCAAAAGATTAAGGACAAATACTAGTAGGCAACAACTAATATCAGAAGTTCGATTTCTTTGAATGAAAATTATCAGAAAAATGTAATCTCATTTTAAAAGGATTACAGATATGATTGCTGCCTACAGTAGTAACAGCAGAAATGGAACAATCAACATTTTAAAACTGCAATGTATGAAACTGTGACTATTGAACAAATATTTGCAAAAAAAATTGTGAAAGAGACTGCTGAAACCATCTCTGTTCAATATTTATGATTATTAGTGAAAGAGGAGAAAAATAATGCCAGAAAGTAGGGAAACAATAAATAAAGGTTTCTGGGTCTCTAGACCTGTTATGTAAAGAATTTGGCTAATCTTAGTGTCCTATGAGCTTAGTGAGTAAAATCCATGGTAGTTCAACTGCTAGGTTTAATTCCCAGCTGATGAGGAGACTGGTTGTATAAACTTTTGTTTCTTTCTCAAATGTGACACAAAGCACATCTGAAGAAATTTTTTCCTGATGGCAGCTCTCATCTTAACCCTTTATTTCCCTAGGGATGTTTAAGCCCCAATTTTAAATTAAAAGCTGTGGGGGAAAAAAAAGCATTTTTTTGAGTTTAATGTGAGGTGTTTCTCATGCATATAGAAATATAATGAAACAGTTACAAACTCTTTTTCAAAAAATAATATAATTTGGGACATAAAGGGTTTTAAACAGACAGCCCTCACTTATTTTGTCATGATTAATCCAAATTCTTTCTATTTTACTAATGTTAATGCTACATGATTGGAAAATTTTTTCAAAGGAGTATACAACATAGATTGAAATTAACCACATATTAATGGGAATCACCAAACAAAGCATTTTGGTTTGCCATCCCTTTCTAAGCAAAAGCTCTATCCTACAGGCAGAAGATAGCACACATTAAAACAATGATTGTTATAAAGTTGCTGTTCAGGAAAAATTGCATGAAGGATTGCCACAATCTAAATGCTAAGACAGAACAATAGAATTGATAAAAGCGACTCCAAGACTTTGCTACATAACTAGAAAAATTAACACAGCCTTTTCAGAATGGATATCATTGATGCTATTAAAAATTTTAAACTCACAGCATTTTCTGGATGCTGTCAGAATTTGTAAACTTTCTATATGTCCTGATTAGGATATCTGATAAGGAAGATCTCAAAACAGTTTTTTTTTTTTTTTGTTTTGTTTTGTTTACATGCTAAAAGTGAAAATTTCTGACAAAAATGTCCATTCGATCCTAGGCATTGGTATGAGTACCAGTGATGAAACTGTCACTTTAGTATTAATCCTTCGCAGATGGCTAATACATTCTGCGATTATAATTACTGGCACAGATAATGCTATTAAAGGATAGCATAATACAGCTGCTTACGATGATATGTGCACCAATGGCCCAGTGGTTAAGAACACTGAATACAGGTACTTTGATGTGGGTTCTAATCCAGCTGAAGATGCTGGTGGCATGGACAGTTTTCATGGTTTCTCCCATGAATAATATGAATACAGGCTAATTAGCCTTAGAAAGACTTACAATGGCTTCTTTCTCTTATGAAAATAATCCTTGAGTGCTTTGCCATGTAAGAATAACATAACATATGCACAAAGATATGTGATAAATTATGTTTTTTAAAATGTTAAACACTTTTTCATATGATTAAAAGCATAATTTGTTTAGTAAAGCAAGTGTAAATGTTACAATAACTTGCATAATCCAGACCATTTAATTCCTATGAAGATGTAAATGGTACTGTAATGAACTGTAAAATAGAAAATAATTCTGCATTTTTAAGTTCTGAAACATCAGCTATGTATATGTGGCCAGTTGTGGACAGCTGTTTGTAATTTTTTTTTATTATTTCACATGCTACTCTACTCACTATAAAAGAAAATGCTCAAGGAATTTCTGAAAATTGCAAAATTTGTTTTGGGTCACCAGTTCAAAAAAAATTTGAAACATGTTTTCTATTATGTCAGAACAAATGTTTATATATTATATTCCCTTAAATAAATATCCTGCAAGTGCTTTGTCATAATCAAACAAACATACTTTTAATAAAGGCTTAATAAAGACCTAAAGTTGATCAAGAATAGGTTACAATTTTATTACAGTATTGGCTGATCTATTCCTCTAACATTTGAAGTCCTCTACTTCAAGATACAGAACAAGTATTTCGTACATCAATTTTCATATCCTCTTACAATGTCTGCAGATTGTTTCTGAAAAGACCGGCCAGAACTTCTTTTATTATTTATTTATTTTGAGACTAAGCAACCATAGATTTTTACAGGTAAGGTTGCAACCCTTATGCCCCATATTGATTAGGGTTTTGCAGTTAGATCTGCACTATTTGGCCAGCCAAGCTTATGTGAGACTGCTGGCATATTTTCACAAACTTTTTTTTTTTTAGTGCAATGGTGTTTATTTTGAAAGTGAAATAATATAATTCAATGTTTAGCAACCTTCACTAACAGTTTAAACAATACTGGAGATACATTTTATACTCTATTGAAAGTAATCATTTCATAGCTTCAACAAAGGTCTAGCTCTCCTTGCAAATGGACTGTATCCTGTACCTGTATGTCTATATATTATAATATGCAAATTAACTGGAACAAAGGAAATATTTTAATAATTTATGTACATACCTACTTATATAGTGATAATAATAAAACAAATAGGAAATATGTTCTCCTTTGGCACAAAATGACCTCTGAAATGTGCTTCAGCACTGAATCTACTAGGTCTTGTGTATATTTTTGCTTCTCTACTATGGAACACCACTTTTATAGTGTTCTGAATCCCGTGTTCTTTAGCTGTACAATCCATTTTGCTAAGATGTTCCTTGAAAATTCGGAAGGAATTTTCAAATGGGTTAAAGTCTGGCGAATTTCCAGGCCAATCTAACAAAAAAAAAATTGTTTTCCAACATGAACCTTCTGATAAATTTTGAATTGTGGCATGGAGCAAAAGTCATGTTGAAATGTTCCCACAAATGTTTTTCTAGAATGGCGCAATTCTATATTTTCAAATTTCTATATATTTTAATGAATTCATCATTCCGTCAACAAGAACTGGATTTTTCAGTGCCAGCCACAGTGAAAAAAACCCCCAAATGTTTGCTTTTAAGGTATCTTATGGTTTATCGGATATGCTAAGGTCTGGCTGATTCATCCTTGCTTTGACTAACAATGTCAGATGTGCAATCATTAACAAATAAATGAGTTTCATCTCTAAAAATGACCCTTTCCAAGTCATTTAATGTCCACAATAATCTCCTTGCTTCATCTGCCATGTGAAAAGTTTGTTTTTTAATAGGCTTTCTCGCCTTCCAACCAGTGACAATTCTATTCTGCACAGCTGGAGGATGAATATCAGCATCAATACACAAAAGATATCTTTTAAGGTCTTTGCTAGTTTTTTGCTAGTTTTATGGCATTTTGCAGTTGGAATCAATCAGGTTTTAGAGTTGTTTTCATGAAATGAGCCTGTTATAGGATAATTTGATGATTTCATGATAATACTACTATCCCTCCAAGGATGGAATGCATCATAGGCGGTGCAGTGAAAACTCACAAAAGGTTGTGTGAGGAGATTACTGAATTGCTGAGGGCTTTAAATTGCAGCTGCCTTTTTATATTTAGCAAAAGAAAATGTGCCTGTCAGGATTCCCAACATAGGTAACAGACCATGTACTTTCATGAAAGGAGATGAAATTGTTTCATGCTCTCAAGGACAAGTATCATGCGAAGTTCCATCGATCAGAAGCAGCATCCATTTGAATTAAAAAGATTTAAGTGAAAGGACAGACTTAAATGCTAAACAAATTGAAGCTGCACTTCACTTAATAGACGAATTTAAGGATGTCTTTTCAACCTCGCTTACTAACATTGGTCACATAAATGTGACACATCATAATATCGATACTGAAAACCATTCACTTACCAAGCAACACCCTTGGTGTCTATGATCCACAATACAAGAGGTTGGTTGGGAAACTCCTGAAGGAGATGCATGGCAATGATCAAGGCTGACTCTAGTGCTTAGGCATCCCCTATTGTCTTAGCTTACAGACATCTAGATGCCATTACCCTTTGCGTCAAATCGACAACACCTTAGACATGCTAGAAGGGTACAAATTTACATTTACACTGCCCTTTCCTTTCCAGAAAAATTATCCAGTTTCATTTTGTCTGCTTAGAATTTGAGAAATGCTCTATTTTCCAACACCAACTGCAGAAGTAACATTTGTTACAGTCATGGATATGATTGTTAAGTATGATAATCTTTACTCTCTTTCTAGACATTATATCCATTTTTAGTACACTAAAATGAAAAATGCAAAATGTACCTGAAAATTATGCAACTATAACTTTTCACAGAAACAAGCTTAAAAATAGTGCAATAATTCTAATTTATTGTTCAAACTAGTTCTTAACAGTCAAAAGCAGATATCCCGATGAGAGGCAAGGGAAATTGCTTTGAGGGGCTTGCTGGCATCAGTTGGAAAACTACTTAAAATTCTGTGAAAAAGTCACTTTGTCCCAATTAATTTGCATATTAACTTTTCTAATCAAGAAGAAACTTGGTAAAAGCAATGAAAAGACCATGAAGTGATCAAAACTGAAAAGAAACAATTCCTTTACAGACACTCATTGGTCCAGAACCACTACATATTTGAATGATGAAGGCTCATCTTTGGCAGCAACAAAAGATGGATATTATCCTGGACTCATAAAAGCAATAAATGAAGCCTCACAGAATTCAGAGCTGGACATTCAGCTATTGTTCAGTAAGTTCACACAAAATACCAGATGCCAGGCATTCTACAATTACCATCATGCTCACTCACAGCAAAATGGCTTTACTTGGCCTAAAGTGCTTGTTGGGATAAGGTCAGCAGATTTGACAGCCTAGATATGATCACCATAGATGGCTATTACCATCCATAAAGCGGGCCCTAATAAATGGCATAACATTGTTAATACAACAGTTCCCAGAATGTCATTGATATAGTGTTCAGCCATTAAAACATACTGTTGGATTATTAAAAATAATGAGGTATTAACACTAGGCATGACACTCCACAAAGATGTATAGTGAGCTATACCGGCTAAACTTTTTCCAAGCAAAATCTCTGGTGATCTGAGGCAAACTAAAATTGTTTTTCACTGTTGTATATCATACAGCTTAAATACAATACAATCCAAGCTTCACGTCCATGACCAAGCTTTGCTGTTGATGCCTAAAGTATTGATGGAAGATATCACAGACACTGGCCCACGCAATCCAGTTTCTATATCCTTTTTGTAATAGTGCTTAATGACACTCAATATTCAGCTATAATGTGCAAGTTCTTTTTAAATGGCATACAGCAAAGCTGTAGATGCACATGCAGTAACTTTCACTGCTACATAATCATCATAACAACTGTCATTTTAGGTCTGCCATAGGCCTCATGATGGTTATGTATCTCCTGCTAGAACAACTGTATCATCATTCAACTATCAACACTATGATCCTTGTCCCAGAAAATGAACCGCACACTCTTTTTAAGACTGTGATGCAACAAGTTCACTTAAATGAATGTAACTATTATCATGACAGTCTTCATGGTACACTCATTCAATAATGCAAGCAACTCACATAAGCACTTCAAGTTGACAGTCAGGCTGAAAATGTACTTTATGTGTATTTTGGAATGTGCATTCTTTTTGATTTAAACTTGTGCATTGTAATTACTGGCCATGCATTTTTATCATTTGCACTTCATGGTTAAAAGATTTTTGCAAATTTTGAAATTATCAGCAAAAAATGAATAACTTTTATAAATAAAAAAATTTTTATAAATTCAAGCATGAAAGCACTAATTTCGAGACAATAATAGTTGTTTTTATAAACCAAAAACCTTACCAAGATTCCTGAACTGGAAAAGTTGGGATGAATGTAATCATTCAGAGAAGGAGGGCTACTTAAGCCAACAACTCTCTTTACTCGTTTCGCACCTTCATCCAGAATCAGCCCAAGATTAGATGTTGGGTTCTTCAGTGCCTTTTGCAATTCTTTCAGATGGCCACCAGCATGTTGCAAACCTTATAACAGCATTAACACATGCATAAAAAAGTTATTACACACATAAATAAAATTACACTTATGTATATTTATATAGTTATTTCAAGTACTGCCTGCATCTGAGAACATAAAACCATATATCCATAAAATTAATTTCTAATACATCATTTTAATTCTAGATTGGTCTCACTTTCCAAAACTATGTTAAGAGTAACTATAAGTAAATTTTACTTAGGTTTACAAAATTTTCTTGCCCCTAAATTTAAAAGAAATTAGCAGTTCTTAAAACACCTGTTTATACAGAGTAATTGTCCATTGAAATAAATAACTCTAAAAAATAGCTCTACATAAAGACTACTTCACAAATTGTTAAAAAAATCACAAAAACATCTAGTTTAACACTACAACCGAGGAGTGGGTCAATTTGACCCAAACCAATGTTTAATTTGTCACCATGCGAAAAATATTAATTGAAAAAGAAACTCCTTTTATGACTTTTAATAATTTAAGGTAAACAACAACTTACCAAATTTGAAAATGTGCGACATAAATAAATTTCTGATTATAGACACTTATACCTAGAACCGCGAAGCGGGTCAGTTAGACCCGTAAAAAATGTTTCTGCCCAAATGACGAAAAACAAGATGTATTTTCTCGGGAGTAACTATAAAGTCTATCTGCCTTAAAATTCCTCAAATGGATTGCACTAGGATATGGAATAGTGTAGGTTTTCAGTTAAGGTCCTAATATTTGTTTCATATGCAGTGGAAAATTACAAAGAATATTTTGCAAAACTTTTCGAAGTTGCTTTTATTCTATATTTACCAGGGCTGTCATGAAAAGGTTAAACAGATTTCATGAAGTAACCTCCTGAAAATGATTATTCAGGTATTTCTAAAGTTACTGAGAACCCTGTTGTGCACACAGTCATCAGGGTTCATACACATTTTTGCACACAGAAATTCAGTACTTTTAATGATCATTAACGAAAACATTAAGGACCCATTGGACCTATCGGCAAAGTAAGCTGAATAAACTCAGTTAAAAGATATTATGTATGCTTGAACTTCACTTTTGCAATACCATCCTAAGAATAAAACAAATACACAAGTACAGTCAAAAGTCGTTAATCCGGACTCGTCATGACTTCGGCGATTCCAGATTATAGATCATCAGTTTAAATCTCGTAAGATGGCATGCAGAAATTCTAAAATTAAAAATATGAAACCATAATTTATGAAATAAAGAACAATTATGATTTAAAGGGTATCAAAATTTAGAAAATAAAAAGCTTAATATTTATTTGTTTACTTTATTAAACATTTCTTTCAATGTAAGCTGTTTAAGTTGCTTTGTTTTATGAGATAATACTTTCTCTTTAATTCTATAAACAGACATAATTGCTTGTTCAGTTACAAAGTTCCGCTGTTCAAGTCTCGTAATTGCTGTGCCGAGAATACCGACTAACTTGTCAATCGAAATTTTTTCGTTTTCACTAACCTCTCTGTCACCTTCTTCATGTCTTTATCCACTTTTTGATGCAATTCCACTTTTTGTTTGATGGACATCAGAACATACTTTCGTTTTGTAGATCCTTTGGGAGTTCCAGTATCGGAAATTCTGTTTGACATAATCGAAAGTTCAAGTTTACTTTTATAAAATTGCTCTTACAGTCCGCAAAAAATAATAAGGCGGAAATAATTCGAAGATTAAGGAACAACGCAATCATCAACATTAACTGAAATAGATAATTTTAGCATATACCGTCCGTTATACATAAAACGCGCACGTGAAAACGTATTCTGCGCTAGCGCACACACATATGCGCAGTCGTAAAAGTCTTACGTGCACACGTAAACGCCTATGCGCATGTGTCAACGCGGCGCATGCGCAGAAAGTTTTTAGCTTTGAGGTCCGGATTATAGATCATTCCGGATTATGGATGTCCGAATTAACGACTTTTGACTGTAGTATGCATTACTATTAAACATAATTATTAAAAATCAACTTTAAATAAAATGTATCAAGTAGCATTAAATATTTTACACAGTTGGACATATTTCAAAGAAGATTAGATTAGTGACATTTTATTTATGTTTTACTAACATTTAGCTTTACACTGATTTTTTCTTTTATATTATTTTTTGATATCTCATTTTGTCAGATACTTCCTCAACCTACAGGTTTAGCAAATAGCAGGTAGATTTTATGTCAAATGGCATAGCTTAAAATGAGAAGTAAAATCATAATCAGCATGATTCGTAACAGAAGATTGGCTGTTGCCACCATGGCTGCTTTCCTAGAGAGAACTGCTGATCAAAATATACCTGAAAGCCTGATGCAGGTTTGCAAGTTTTGAATTGACACAGTTAGGGCCATAGCTTTGTGTAGAGCTCCTGGGGTTATAATTCAATTAATATAGTTTAAGGTAGCAATAAATCACTAAAGCACCAGAGGTGACAAGTTGTTTCGCACTGTTTTAAGTCTCTCTAGATGCAAAGAATAAGTTCTAGATTTTTCCCCCCATTTTTGTGCTAGATCTTATAATCATGGTAAGGATTAATGAAAGGCAATAACTTTCTTTAATACACAGAGATAATTTTAAGGCTGAGAAGTTAGTTACAAATAATTAAATTAGGTAGTTAGATATTCTTAATTATTATAAATTTACATGGCCACTGCAAATTTTTTTTTAAGTGCTTGTTAAAAAAGCACCATTAAAATCCCAATCTAATAACATTTCACAGTTTAAAATACAAGTAATTTACGACACTGATTCTTAAACAATATTAGGATAATTACACATTAAAATCCACAACATATTTGTGTTTTGTAACACACAACAAAATATTTATGAATCTTGTCAACTTCCTTCTCTTTAAGCATATTTTCTAACAACTAGAAATTGGTTTCAATATACAAACTAATGTTCCCACTAGTTTCTGCATGCTTTATCTCCTAAGTTGACAATCTACCTATGATGTTTTGCATGATTCGAAGAAAGTTGAATAGTTCAAAACCCCTGACAGACATAAAGCAAATCATCGCTATGTCTGAAAGTAACTACAATGTCAGATAAAGGTTTAAATAAACCTCTTATTAAAAAAAAAGCTTAGAACATAAAGTCATATTCTTATGCTAGCAAAATAAACTACAGCTTGAGGTCATGTAGTTAAACAAAAACAGTAAAACTAAAATATGGACTTTTAAGTCAATTTAATTTTAAGCTGGCTCAGTAACTCTACTGTCTCAACAAATTCAAATGTCGGCAACGATAATGCAGCGTGCAAGCCAAAGCCAGAAACATACTCTGTTTTACAATCCCAAAACCTTAGTTTAGACACTTACTCACTGATTTTGCATTCTCACGAGGAAAAGGAAATGGGAAGTTACAGTAAAGACTGAAATTATAAACAACTAATTAATTTATATAACTGTACATATCTTTGAAGAAAAAATTTCTTTTTCTTTATGTATTCAGTTTCTTTCTTCAACACATTTCCTCTTCATTTAAAAATTTTTGGATTTAATTAGATTTCTCTTATTCTAAAAAACTAAATGCATGGAAAAAGCTGCTAATTTTATTTCTTTAGTAATATGAACGTTTAAAATAAATATGAGATGATACATGGTAAGGCCCAGTTACAGAGCCTAGGGTGGCCAAATTTTTAGAATTTAGTGACCCACCGAGCAAGAAATCTAGAAATCGCGAAACTTTTAGAATTTAGGACAGGCATTGGCAGCAGACTATAGGAAGGCATTAAGTAACAGAACGTAGTATCCACAGAGATTGGTCAATAGGGAAAATGCCTAGCGCCAGCCTTGTGTATGATGAGTTGAGACATATAAGATGAATCTTTTAAATTGTCAGTTTTTAATTTCTTTATAAATAAAAATATTCCTTTCTATAAATGACTGTCCATGTGATAAGATTACAAGCATTTTTGATATTTTCACTCATTTATCTAGTGAAAAGTAGAGAAAATAAAGGAAAGAAAAAACATGTTAAAAAGGACTTCTAGAGTCAGAAGTAAAACATTCAAATATTATGTTTCTATTGTTCTTCCAAAAATTCTCCCAAATGTAAGAAATTCACCACAAACTTTCTGTAAAATACACCCAATTCTAACAAAGACATTTTTCAATTTGTCACATTTTTCTGGAATATTTTAGAATCTTGGGTCTATAAATCCTTCTAAACTTTCTAAGTTGCAATGTCTAAAATCCTACAGAAAAATTACCCCTACCAATCCTGTAACAGCAAAATGCCAGGAATATTTTGAGGAGAAAGAAAAAAAAAAAAAAGAGGAAAAACTTGTAAAATCATTTTACAGAGAAAAATTATGCATACTCTGAGACAATTGCATGGGATAAACTCTAACCATGACAAAATCAAAAAGAAGCCACTTAATTACATAATTAATTACATAGTTATTTTGCTTTTGCTAAGAATTATTTTGTAAATTGTGCTTTATTACCTTGTTTATTTTTCTGATTCAAAATACTGCATAATAAGTTGCCAAAATAGCAAGTAATATATCCCTTTACTGTGACACCGAAAAATAAAAATGTTTCATTTTAATGTTACTTCTTAAATATACTTTCAATATTTTATCATTATTTTAATGATTTCCAATGTTAAAATGCTTAAAAAAATCGTCAAAAAATTCCCAGACCTCCAAAAAAATTTTTTCACATAGTAACGGATTTTGAAATCGCCAATATATTTATTAAGTCACCAAATTTAGAATCGTTTAATAAAAGAATTCACATCAGCAAAAGCAAAAAGTTGTTTAAGAGCTCTTCATTAGAAAAAAATTAAATAAATTCGAAATGCTTACGTTTCACTTTTTTGCCCAGAATCTCGAGTATCCCAACACTTGGATTAGAAATAGAAACAAATTATAACCCATTCACCCATTTAAAAAGATAACCATATTTATTAGTGCATCGCCAAAAATATTCCTCCAAAATGCTAATTCACACTCAATGGCAGTCATAACAGCAGGCAGAAATTTCAGATCATTAAAATTAAGGACCTTCTCCCGATTTTCCCCGAAAATTTGATTCCAAAAAATTTAAGGACTCTTAAGGGCCATACAAACCCTGATTAATGGCAAGGAAAAAATTCAGACATCAAAAGAAATTTTGATTTGATGGATAATTTCTCACTGCAGCTTGGAGATAAAATTGGTATAATTCAAGCAATTTATGATGAAAAAAAAATTTCTTTACACTATTTTACTACTTGATAATGAACACAGCTGGTTCCATGTTAAACTGCCTTTTCATGAAATGCAACATGAAAGGATTGACAACAACCAGAACCAAAAATCAGTACCATATCACAACCAGAACTCCAAGTAACAATAACAGCCAAGCTATTCTAATGTTTTTACTATTGCATATCACAACAGAAGAGTCATTAACCCATAGCAATAACTCAAAAAAGATACAAACAGTAAGGAATGAATGCAAGATTTGAACAAAATAAATAATAACAAAAAAAAAAAGTTACATCTCAACTGATTTCCACTGCATCAAGAAATAAGACTGTAAAATTAAACCTCATTGACTGCAATTTTTTTTGTTGGGAGGGGGAGAACATTTTCATTTAAATAAAAAATTTAACTCATTTTATATTAGTATTTAAGTTAAAAAATAATTACTTTAAAATTTCTGTTTCGCTTATTATTTAGCCTGTTTTTCACTATATTCAATTTCTAAATCTGGTACCTCTGAAATAATACATTATTGGGTAAATTACGCAAAAAAGTAATTAAAATAAACCTGAATCTAAATCAGTTTGTAAAATTTAAAGCCCAGCAATGAGAGAAATGGAGTGGTTGTAGAAAATAGCATGGGTTATCTACAGATATGCTGCATATTAACAATCAACTGAACCGAGCAGTTTTTATTAAAATGATGACACAAGAGCTCTGAATATCTTCCCTAATAGAAATATATTTAAGGACAAGAAAATTAAAAGCATAAAATTATGTGTATGACTACACTGTAATAACATAATGGGATTTTCAATTAAAAATATATTAATTTACATGGTCTCAGTTAAATTAGCAGGCATCCACGAAAACAATATTATAAATAAGAGAGTATATTTATCTCTACAAAACATAAATTCTGAATAAAACATTAATGACAGAAAATATAGAGTAGGCTTGAAAAAATAGATTAAATGCATACAAATATAAAAATAGCTTTTTTTTTTTTTTAATTAGGAAGTATTAAGTACAAATTTTAAAAGTCTTCAACTTGACAAATCTTCCTAACATTTGTTTTTATGAAATCAGTGACACAAGCGTTCTAAATGTAATTTGAATAACATGGCTGCTAATTAATTACCAAAAGCTCTTAGTGTGCCAAAATATATATAAAATCAATTTGCTATTATTTTAGAATGTTGTTTTGGAGTATGGTATACCTTAGCTTTGGTTTGGCCAATCAACAAAGCACAGAACATGGCTCTCGCACATTGGTCACCAAGCAGTCCAGATTTTACAATGTGTGACTACTACTTATGGAGATACATACAAAAACCAAGGCTTCATTCCTTCTCTGCCTGCAAGCTTGGCAGAACTTAAATAATGTACCACAACAGTTTTTTAACTATTGACATGGATATGGCAAGATGTGGAAGAACTGGTTTATCACATTCATACTCGTCCTGTTACAAAATAATTTCACAAAGAACATATAGTTCAACCGCATGCACCTCGGCTGGAATTCTGCCAAAAGCACACACACATCAGCTGGCATTCTGCCATTATCCAAAAGTGGTATTAATTATGTGCCACAGGGTCAAGCAAGTCACAAGAGTTTGCTCTTATCTGGAAAAGAAAGATGAAATTCAAAGGAGGGGACAGTCCCTGTGTTATGGGGTAATCCTGTCATCAGTTGTCTTTTGTGCCATTATTTCATATTTGCAGAAATAAATGTGAAGATTCGCATTGAAGTGCACAACTGGAAAACAAACATGTCGAAATTTTTTTCATAACATGCATTTTATGTGAATAGTGCATATTCCATTGTTTGCCTTTAAAAATAAGTTCGATAGAACTATATTTTTTAGTGGAAATATTCTTTCTAAAGTTAAAAAAAAAAGGTCAACAGGAATCTATCCCTTTTGAGTGAGGGGGGGGGTCTTTCCTGAATGTAGTTGATTTAAGATGACTATTGACACTATGTAATCTTTTATGCAAGAACTGTTTTTGTTCCTCCCTGCTTCAATTATGTATAATAATGCATACAGATTTCAGGCCCGAAATCGAAAGGAAATATATTATTTATTATAATTAAATAAATATATTTAATTATTAGGAAATTTCCTTTTTTTTTGTGTATATTAATGTAATATTTTAGTTCGAAGATATATAAAATTATTATAATCAAGTACAATAATTATTAAATTAGAATTCACTGTGATAAAAACTATACAATAAAATATAATAATTATAATAACAATTATTATACAATGGACCTTAATAAAGGTATATTGTATAATATAATAATACTATAAAATTATATATATAGAAAAATTAAGCTTTGAAAGCACTCATATTTTTAACAATATATATATATAAATATAATAATTCACAAAATTAAACAGAATGTAATCAAACAGTTAATTACAAAAGATAATCATCATATTATCTTAGATTACTCCAAAGTAATTTTCTGCCTCCTTAAATCTGTGTTCTTTGAATGCAGTAAAAATAAGTAAGGAAATAATAGGAACGGAAAAAAATCCCCACTGTATGATTCCTATTTCATCCACCCTATTTCGTCAAAAATATTTAATCAGTCAAATAAATGAATGTCTTGCATTGTTGCTTGCTCATATTTACACTCTGTTGAGCCCGGCATGGTAAACTATACTATTTAACTGCATAAGTATAATACTTCAGCTTGCTATTAAAACTCTTGCTTTTGTAAAAATATGAGCATGTTCACTTCTTTTGTGCTAATCTTATATTTTATAGGAGAAAGCTTCTTGAAATGTTAATGATATTCAAAAGCTTTAAAAAAAATTCTATATGACGCTATTATTAACACTTTGATTTTATATATATATATATAAAGAATGCATACCAGTAAGAGCAACAAAGAGACGCAAAATGTCATTAGTGCCTTCAAAAATTCTGAAAATACGTATGTCTCTCAACACACGTTCCAGCCCAGCAGAGCGCATATACCCCATGCCACCCATGACTTGTATAGCTTCATCAACAACAAACCAAGCAGCTTCCGATGCAAACACTTTGCTTATAGCTGCTTCCAACTGAAAGTCTACATAGCCACGATCCATAGTTCCAGATACCATATACGCCATTGACTAAAAGGAAAAATAAATTCTGAAGGAGAAGGAATATAAATAGTCATAAAAATATCAATGAATATTTTACATGCCATATACATAATTAGTTAGATTCAATGCATACTTCTGTTATGTACTGAGCCATACACATTCTAAAAATTTTTTCTTGAATTGTGCCGTATGTACATATTTTATTACCAAACTGTGTCCTATTTATAGCATGATCAGTGGCCTTTTCAATTGCTGCTCTCATTGTTCCTGAAAGGCAAGCAGCCATACCAAATCTCCCATTGTTCAATATATTCATTGCAATCTGGAAATAGCAATGAAAAGGTAAATTCATATTCTGCATTTCAACTGCTAAGTAAATTAGTCATTTTCTTAAAGATTAATATGCATCATCAAAAGCTAAAAAAAACAAAGTAAAATTTAAAATTACCATGGTTAAATTAAGCAAAAGAAAGGGTCATGCTTCTCAGCTGCTGACTGACCAAAACTCAAGGTCCGTACAGTGAAAAGGTTCGCGCATAAGAGGAAAAACGCGTTGAATGGTCAACCACATCGTGACGTCACAGGGAGACCTCTGTTGCTTTCTCTCATACTACGAGGGTAGAAACTACGGTAGGCGCTTGAAACGAATTTGCGCTTATTTGACTGTTCTTATTTGCTAGGTGTTTACATTAAAATGTTAAAGAAGGATATTAACTAAATCATAATTTAACATGTATAAATATCTAATAAACATTTTTTATCGACATACATACGACTTTTGAAATATATATTTAAAACTAAACGTATCGAATAAATACGCAAATCAATGAATGAACACTAACCTGAAAAATAAATTTGCATTGTACATACCCTTATTTCTTTGACATATTTTATACTTGAGCGTATAATTTTTAAGACAGTATATAAAGATATCTTATAAAAATAAACTTTGAATAATTTAAACCGAGGGCAAATTAAGTTCAGAACCCAAATTATGTGCTGTAAATTGCATAAGTTTAGTGGCTATATTTATTAAATTCTAAACATAATCTAAGCTAATTCAAATATCATACTGAATAAGGAACTGGCACATGAATTCGCAAATGCTATTGTAAAAAAACAAAATAGATTTTTGTAGTTGCAGATTTTTTTATGTCACAATTCGCTTTTTCAGAATCAAAAATATTTTTATTTATTTATTTTACATTATGAAGATGTATTATATATATACATATAATATTTTACACTAAGATATATGCATTTATATATATATATATAATATATACAAATATTATGAGATGAATGTTTAAAAAAATATATATATATCAGATAATACGTAATACAAAATATATTTTTCTTTCCAAAAGTAACCAGGTATTTGCATCTAAAATTTAGTCTAGTTACGTAATTTGGATCAGTTCTGTTTAATAAAAAATATTTCTTTCAACAGATATGCTGGATACACCATTTTTTCCGCAGCTAAGCTTTGCTTGAAGAAAAATTTTAAGTATTCCTTACAATGGTTAGGCTAAAAAAATAGCGCACCTAAGATAACAAAACAAAAGATAGCTCGATTTATATTCAGTTAAAGAAATAATTTTTTGATATTACGAAATTATTTTCTTCAATTTATTTTTTCTTTTCCGCGTTATGTCACAGTTTTCGTCGACTGAATTTAGTCTTCTTTTTTGTGCTTTCGAATATTTTTTATTAACTAATTTTTGATTTAAAGTCCTTAATCGTATGAAAGTTCGAATTCTAGCAAAGGACTTAAGTAAGTTTTCATCTGTGTCGGAAAACTGCTGTTTAAGGGTTTTGACAAAGTCCTTTATAATATTTTCTCCCTTTCTTAAAGTGGAACCGTTGAAAATTAAAAATTGTTCTTCCATTTTATGGACCTGCGTTTTCCACTCTTCAGAGGGTTGAATTAGTCCTCCATGAGACAGATGTTGTATCCACGACGAAATACAATTTGGATCTTCTTTCAGTTTATACGCAGTAAAATGGGCAGAACATATCCTAGAAGAGTTTGCATTCCATTTATCTTCTCGACGGCAAAGATTTATCCACTTCCTTCTTAATGTAGGATCACTTGGAAATTTATGATAAACTATGCGCTCAGATAAATTTTTAGTTTTTTCTAAACTGTTGTTGCAAAGAGCAACGGCACATCGCATTCCAGGCATCTAGTAAAATTGAACAAAAGAAAGAATTTCAGAATCGTTTTTCTGCACTGTAAGCATTCCATAATATAATATAAAAATATTCAGTAAATATTTTAACCTTTTGATATAGAAAACTATGTTATATTACATTAATATGTATATATGTAACTTTTTAAACATTTTTTAAAACCATTTTTAAATACTTTTTTATAAACTTTTTAAAATTCTTTTTTGCATTTAAAGAATTATTTGAAATTTATTAATTACGAATTTCACCTTTTGGTCTTTGTGAAAAGTAAATTTCTTACTTTATGTCTTTACTGATAATTTTTTAACAACTAATGCGCGGAAATACTAGACATGTTTATATTTTGTTTTTTTAAAAAAAAAATTTGTAATTTCACATATATACACATTTTTGTAATCTTTATTCTGTAATTTAAGCTGTTTTGGCACAAATAGATATACAAAATTCGTCTATAAACAAGCTCTGAACTTAAGCTTGTTATTTTACAATTAGTACTGAAGATAAAATATTTGATAGTATAAAACAGAAGTGAATATTACGTAACATTAAAATAAAACAAAAGTACTGAAATTTTACTAACCTTGAAGAAAATATTCTCACTGACAGAGGACTTCACAGGATTTCAGCATTCGAAAGCAATGACTTGGCGTTTCCCTTAGACTCGTATATCACGTAGGCCTCGTCTGGTCGCCCTGTGACGTCATACGTTGAGACTTGACGCATGCGCTCTATGCCTCAGTTTCCGAATGCGCAAACCTTTTCACTGTACGGACCTTGACCAAAACTCAACCTACACTTTTTGATGCTTCAAAATGGCAACTTATAATATAAATTAGATTTATACATAACTTTGTGCTAATAAACATTGCAAACGCCAAATTGGCACTTTCTGAAAAATATGCTGATTTGGCCCTCTTTATTTGAAATGGTTTAGCTTTTGTACTGGTAGATCAAATGTAGATTTAAACCCTATTGAAAGGGCTCACAGCATTGGTATTTTCATGGTTTTCCTCATGCGTAACGTGAATACAAAATGACTCCCATTACGAGGAGCTCAACAAAAGCATCCTTTCTCTCAGGCTGTATGTGTTTGCCATATTTAAGTAAGTAAATCTTCCCCATAGATCAATCCATCCTTATACTTCAAACTGTTCACAACTACCACATTTTGTAAAATTTGTACAAGTAGTTTTGTAGCTATTTGTGTTTCAGATTTGGTACTGAAAATAATTTCACTTTGAGAGTTTCTAATTTATGTTACTTTTGCTTTTTTTTTTTTTCTAAATTCTTATAAAATTCCATAAAAAAAAAATGCCCATGATGCTTACCTTACTAATTTTGAACTTTATGCTTAGATTACTAATTCTTACCATTTCATTTGAAATAAAATTTGATATTTTGCATCTTCCACATATCTAACATGAAGAATTCAACAGCTGATAAATGTATGTCATTAGAAGCAACCATGAAAATAACAATGCCAAGTTCGCTCATACACAAGTGACAAGTGCTATAACAATAATCTAACGTTTTCTTTAAAATTTATATTCAAATTTTTCTGAGTTAAGGATTATCAACAAAGGCTATAGTAGAACCTTGGATCATGAATGCTTCACAAAAATTCGGTTTACAAACGAATTACCGTAATTTCCGGAAGAAAGGCCGCATCAGCATAAATGCCGCATTTGAGAAAAATGGAGGGGGAAAAAAATTAAAATTACACAGAAACACCGCATCAGCGTAAACGCCGCAATAGATTAAATTGCGTGTGACATCGTCGTGGGCCGTATAGATGCAAAATCTCAACCTAAGTCCTGATATATGACATACCAGTTCAGAAAAATGCATAAAATGAAACCATAACTCAAAAATAAAGAAATGTGGAAAATATATTTACCTTCACGTATATATTTATTTTTACCCACTAAAGAAGTCCATATTTGTAATACTCAGACTATATTTATAAAAAATGTTGCAACAACGAAATATTAAATTTGGATGACAAAAGGAAATTTTAAATTTTACTTACAAAAGGAATTACAGCAAACTATACATCATATGAAGCCATCAAAATTTGATTCTTCACTATCTGAATTAAAAAGATTTAGTAAATCATCAGGCATTGGAAGCAGAATTTAGAAAAGAACTAGGCAGCAGAATTTAGGATCCACAGAGATTGCATCAGGTGGGAAAATGTCTAGTGCCAGCTCTGTGTATGATGCATTAAAACATATTAGATGAATCTTTTAAATTGTAAGTTTTCAATTTCTTTATTAATAAAAAAAATCCCTTTCTATAATGCCTGCCCATGTGATTAGATTAACAAAATTTTTGATACTTTCCATGCTTGTGTCTAGTGAAAAGTAGAGAAAATAAAGGAAAGATAAACATGTTAAGATTCTAATATAAGAAGTAAAACATTCAAATATTGCATTCTCCAAAAAGTAAGAAATTCATTGCAAACTTTCTGTCAAATACATCAATTACGTGTTGATACCATGGAGACATTTTTCATTTTGTCACATATTTCTCGAATCTTCTAGAATCCTGGGTCTATAAATCTTGCCTTCATATCCTTCTAAACTTTCCCAGCTACAATGTCTAAAATCCTTAAGAAAAATTATCCCTATCAATTCTGTAACACCAAAAAGTCAACAATATTTTGGGGGGGGAAGGAGGGAAAAAGTGTAAAATTAATTTTATACAGAAAACTGATGCATATTCTGAGACAATTACATGGGAAAAACTCTTAGTATGAAAAAATTAAAAAGAAGACATTTTTTAATTAATTACATAGCTAAATTTGCTTCTACTAAGAGCTGTTTTGTAAATTGTGCTTCAGAGCATTCAACATTGTTTATTTTTCAGATTCAAAATATTGTTGCCAAAATGAAACTTCTAATATGACAGCAAAAAATAAGAATGTTTTATTTTAATGTTATTTTTTACATATAATTATAATATATTACCATTATTTTAATGAAATTTATTAATGTTACGATGTTTTAAAAAAAATCATCGAAAATATCTCAGATCTCGGAATTAAAAATTTTCTATAGAAACTGATCTTAAAATCACCAAAATATTGATAAGTCGCCACATTTAGAACCGTTTAATAAACGAATTCACATCCCCAAACGCAAAAAGTTGTTTAAGAGCTCTTTATTAGAAGAAATGAATTTCGAAATGCTTATGTTTCACTTCGTGCTTAGAAACGAGTATCCCATCATTTATATTAGAAACAGAAACAAATTATAACCCCTGAACCCATTTAAAAGATAACCATATATGTCAGTGAATTGCAAAAAAAAATATTCCTCCACAATGCTAATTCACACTAAAAATGGCAGTCGTAAAAACAAAGAAATTTCAGATTATTAAAATTAAGGAACTTCTGCTGATTTTGGGCAAAATTAAGAACTTTTAAGAGCCAAAAATAGATTCCAAAAAATTTAAGGACTCTTAAGGATCATACGAATCCTGTTATTTCGCCCTCTGAACAAATAATAAATTAGTGATAGAGTCCATTGTGGTGTTATTACGTGGAGTGTTTTTGTTTTAATTACAAGTCAACTAACCACTGAAGCCCACCATAGCTTAGTTCTCAATAACAAAGACTGACAGCACTTGACTTACAGGAAAGAAGCACTTCAGCAAAGAAGATATATGGTCAAATTAAATGGCATGGTAGAAACTTCAAGATATTTTTTTTTGGGGGGGGCGGCGGTACCTATGATATTATGTCTTTGAACAAAACCATAAGCTAGAAGATGTTAAGTTGCTAGAGGACCATAACATGAGCTCCACAGGAAAGAATTACAACTTCGGAAGCAGCAATAAAAGGAAGAAGAAAGAAATATATCTTTAATTTCTCTCATCTGTGAAACTTGTGCACACTAGAGTACGATATAAAGTTCCTAGTAACACTATTAACCTCATAATGGGTAGAAAGATGGAGCATAAGAATTTTCAATAATGCCATGTCCCACTTCAAAAACATTAAAACACACATACACACACACAAATCACACAGGACAAATTTTGAGTGAAACAGACATGCCTAGTTAGTCTCAAGCAGTGGGGCACTCAAGAGACACGGAAAAGATGGAAGATGATGTTTCCATGGAAGAATATTTCATATCCACACAATAACATCTTCATTTTTCAACCTAAGTAGTCTACTTTGTAATCTATTTAATACTGTGTGAATCTTTTTTTTTTTTAATATTTAATGATTACCATCAGATTTGAGTTGTGATTATGCACAAAATATTACTTTTAAAGGTTAAATAAGCAATCACCTGCAGTCCAGGAATGAATAAATCCATTTTACATTAATCATGGGAAAACTTGCTTTGGTTTACAAATATTCTAGTTGACAAATGACCCTGCAATATCACAAACAAAAACAATACTCTGATCATCAATCTGCGAACCCCGTGCTTTAAATTACATAGGCATACAAAATGTAAATTCACACTCAGAATGGCAGTCACAGGAAAGAGATGCAAATGTCAGATGATAAAAAGTAAGAATTGTTTGCAAATTTTGGCCAAAATTAAGCACATTTATGTACCAGAAATCCTAAAAAAAATAAATAACTAAACTAAGATTTTTGAAGACCATACTAACCGTATTACCGATTTTAACAAGTTCATAATGGTACATAAATAATCTAACAATGTCTGACTAATTACAACAGTTTGCATTTTGCTCACATGTCAAAGTTTAAATACAAATTCTGCAGCAATATTTCACCCAACAACAACAACCTTTCAATGATTTTTACATTTGCAAAAAATTCACAAATGGCTACGCAATAATTTTCAGGAATAAATATTTTCCAATGTTATTGCTTTTGAAATGGAAATCAATACAGTTTTGGAATTATTTTGATTTGACATTCTACTCAATATGAAACATATGCACCCCTGATAAAAATACATGTAGCTTGCACAATCTTCTTCAAAACTTGCAACCAAATTGTTCTGGTAAAGATTTTCCAAACAAGGAAATACAGAGCTTTCATTCAAGATGTTATACTATATCTACGTATCAGTCAGATGACCTACTTCACTCAGCAAGCAGAAAAATGGCCAAATTTAGAAATTTAGATGTACATTGAAGGGAACAACTAGAATTAGATAAAAATTTTCTGTATCTCTGCCTGAGAATTATGCCAAGCTAAAGGATGATATTCATTTATGCACTCAGAGATGGTCAATCAACGCTGCTAATTAAGGCTGAATATTTCTGACAAAGTTTAACAATATTAAACTAAAGAAAGCAAAAGATAATAAAAATAATGATTTGAATTAAGGCATGCACTATAAAAACGCAAACTTAAGTAATGTAAGAAAATGAATGATTTAAAGAAATAATATTAAATCACCAATACAATAAAAAAAATAATACCTTAAATCCATCACCAACTTCACCTAAAAGATTTTCTGCAGGCACTCTGCAATCATCAAAGAAAACTTCAGCAGTATTTGAGGCTTTAATGCCCATCTTTTTTTCAGGAGGGCCACTAGTTACACCTCCAAACCCTCTTTCCACAATAAAAGCAGCCATCTTTTCAACAGATCCAGATGGAGTTTCAACAGGAACCTATTAAAATAAGCACAAATACACAGAACAGATGTGACAATCATAAAAAAAATTAATGTTAATGATATAAGATCATTAAGAACAATTATAAATAACGATTTCCAAAAAAATATTTAAAAAGTCTAATACACATATACAGACATAAAAACCTACTACACTCGAAAGTTAGGCAAAGTTTAAAAATTTTTCACTGGCATAAATATTTTTTAGAAAGTCAAAAATGTACAAAAAATTACATAACAACATGCTTTTAACATAAACTATAAATACAATCAAATTAATATGTGCAGTCTATATGTTTTACATGCAATTAGTAAACAAAATCATGATATTAAAAATGTTTTTATTTGAAACACAGGAATATAAAATGTTTTTAGACAACTGTTAGCAGCAGATTTTGCTTTCTTCAAGAAGAAGCATCATAATTTTATCAACAGCACTTACAACACTGGTGTTGGGAATGGCATCACTAAGCCAACGAATCAAAAGCCAGATAGAGACTGACGTCATGGGACGCCAGAGGAAAACGAACTGTTCCGGTTTAGTTAGCTAAGAACGATGTTTGCATGATGTGGCTAGATAGATATTGTAGCTAGATAAATATTTCATATTCTTTTAACTTGTCTTTATGTGTAAATAAATCTTTTTGCTTAAGTTTCAATGAAGTACTCCATTTATGACAAGATAGCTGTTAATTCATCGGGTAGATGACTTACGAATCCCTTCTGAGCTAGCCATTGTTCGAACGTAACGCCTTACGTAACATAACATTGTGGCGCCAAGACGTGGGGCGCGATAACAGCTAAAATAAATTGAAAATGGAGCTTACACAGCTGAAAACCGAAAGAAAATGTCTAAGAACTTCCTTTACCACATGTGCAAACAAAATTGATGCAGAACTGAAATCAGATATTCCTGATTTGAAGCTACTTTCGATTCTGGAACAACAGCTTAGAGACAAGTTTAATCGACTTGAAATTTGCCAAAAGGAAGTAACGTCGCTAATTCTACAATCTAAAGAAGCTGAAAAGCTATATGAAGAAGATTTTATTTCGTCTGAGCCTTATAGAGATAAATATTTTGAACTGTGTTCTCAAATCGAAAAGCTGTCGAAGAATCCTTTACCTACTGAATTACCAGAGAAGCGCAAATTTAAACTGCCGAAGATCGAACTAAAGAAATTCAACGGCGAAGCAAAAGAATTTTTGACGTTTTGGAGCCAGTTTTCGAAGATCCATGAAGATCCGACGATTCCAGATGAAGATAAATTCCAGTACCTCCTGCAAGCAGTTGTTCCTCAGTCCAAAGCCGCACGGGTAGTGGAGAGCTTTCCGGCAACGGCGTCGAATTATCCGAAAGCAATCGCCCAGCTTCGAGAGAGGTTTGGAAGAGAAGACTTACTTGTGCAGATATACGTCAGAGATCTTCTAAGCATGGTTATGCGTAATGCAAGCAGTGGACGTGTGAAGACGGATCTTCCCACTCTCTACGATGATTTAGAAACCAAGATTAGAGCTTTAGAAAGTCTTGGAAGAACGCAAGAGAAGTATGGTGATTTCTTAACGCCTTTAGTTGAATCCTGCCTGCCCGAAGAAGTATTAATTGCTTGGGAGAGAAACAGAAATTTAAAAGAAGCACCTCAGCCTGATGACCGATGCCTTGAAAATTTGATGAATTTTCTGAAACAAGAAGTGAAAGGAGAAGAGATGGTCGTGTTAGCCCGCACTGGGTTTGGTTCTAATCATATTTCTAAGAAAAAGGATACACTAAATAAAAATTTAGATTTCGCCACCGCAGCTGCGTTAGTAAGTACATCAAATTCTGAGAGCCCAGGTAAGCGCAATTTTAACTGTCTCTTTTGTGAAAAACGGCACCCAACTAAAGAATGTTTTTCTGCTAGAAATATGACATTAGAAGCTAAGAAAAATATATTAATTAAAAGAGGGGCCTGTTTTGGATGTTTCAGATTTGGACACACTTTTAAAACATGTCGAGTAAAAAATTCTTGCATGTACTGTAATAAAAATCACCATTCTTTAATGTGTCCCAATCGCCAAGAAAAAGGCGCAAATGAAAAGTCTAAAAGGGACGTAACTGAAACCAGTACATTAACTAATAACTGTAAAATAGAAAATGTTTATTTAATGACTCTAATAGTTAAAATTAAATTTAAGAATGTTGAGCTTAAAGTACGCACATTACTGGATACAGGTTCTCAGCATTCGTTTGTCAGTAAAAAATTAGTAGAGAATTTAAATTTAAAACCATTAAGGCAAATTAAATTGAAGCATTCGTTATTCGGTGGAAGAGAAACGCGAACGCAGATTCACGATGTTTATAATTTGTTGATTTCGGCATTAGATGAAACTTTCTCCTTTCAAATCGAAGCACTTTCCGAGAGCAAAATTTGTGGCACAGTGCCAAAAGTGAACGATAGTAAAATTCTTAATGAACTGAAAGATAGAGGCGTCAGTTTGTCTGATTTGGGTTCTTCTGATCGTGAGATTGATCTGCTTTTGGGAGCGGATATTGTGGGCGCTTTATTTACTAATAAATCTGTTCGGTTGGAGTCAGGGTTATTTTTGATTGACACTTGTTTGGGACATGTGTTAACTGGGAAGCATGAGTCATTTGGAGATAGCAATGATGATACTGTTTTGAATGCAATTTCGTTGTATGTTAGTAATTATTCGATAAAAGATTTATGGTCTTTAGAATCCATAGGTATTTCAGATCCCATTGAAAATAATAGAAAGAATTTAGAACATTCTAGAGTTTTGGAAGAGTTTAAAAATAATGTGAAAATTCTTTCAGACGGTAGATATGAACTTTGTTTACCTTTTAAATCTGATGTGGCCGATTTGCGATTTGCGACAAATAAAGATTTAACTTGGAAGCGGCATAAAAGGATGTGCCAGCGAGCACAAGATAAAGCATTTTTAGAAGAATATACTACGATTTTCCGGGAATGGGAGAAAATTGAATATAATTGAAAAGGTAACTGATAATATTGAGACGGGACATTTTTTACCTCATCGGCCAGTAATTAAGGACAGTACCACTACAAAAATCAGACCTGTCTTTGACGCGTCAGCCCGAGAAAGTGGTAAATGCTCTTTGAATGACCTTTTGTATAAGGGTCCGAACTTACTAGAAATAATTCCAGAGATACTTGATAGGTTTCGAATTCATCCAATAGGATTATCTTCAGATATTGAGAAAGCATTTCTGATGCTAAGTATAGCCCCTCAACATAGAGATTTCTTGCGGTTTTTTTTTTATCCGTCCGAGAGTGAACAGATTGTTTACCGACATCGCAGAGTAGTATTTGGGTTAAAGTCGAGTCCATTTTTATTAGGCAGCCTCAATTACACATTTATTAGATAATGTACCATCTGAATTTGATGCTATAGCACAAAAACTGAAACATTCTTTTTACGTAGATAATTGTGTTTCTGGTGTTGCAAATATTGAGGAGCAGGAAGATTTTATTGTAAATGCAAAAGATATTTTGTCACGGGGTTGCTTTAATTTAAGAAACTGGGAGAGTAATGTAAAATGTAAGTATGTTTCTAATAGTACTGGTGTCACGAAAGTATTGGGAATTTTGTGGGATCTTGATAAGGACACTCTTAAGTGTAATTTAAACTTTAATCTTGTAAGTGAAGATCAGAATTTTACTAAGAGAATCATTTTAGCTACAGTTCACAAAATATTTGATCCAATAGGTCTGTTGAGTCCTGCAATCTTACCACCTAAGCTTTTACTGCAGGAAACGTGGAATTTAAATCTAAAGTGGGATACTCCCTTACCAGATAGTATTCAAATGTCTTTTAAAAGATGGTTTAGAGAAATAGATGCATTAAGAGATATCGAAATCTCACGTTATGTTGAAATAAATGATTCCACTGAGATGCATGTTTTCGTAGATGCGTGCAAAGAGGCATATGCCACCTGTATTTTTTTTAGAACGAGAACCTCTCAAGGGGTAAAAATTTACTTTGTTAGAGCAAAAACCAGAGTTGCACCTTTGAAGAAAGTAACGATCCCTAGGTTAGAGTTAATGGCTTGCTGCATTGGTGCCAGGTTGGCATATTCAGTGAAGCAGGCTTTAAATGCCCATGAGATTAAAACAATATTTTGGAGCGACTCTAGGGTAGCTTTATACTGGTTAAAAGAACGTGGTGATTGGACAGTTTTTGTCTCGAACAGAGTAAAAGAAAAAGAAATAAATAATCTGTTTCCTAATAATGAATGGCGACATGTGCCAGGGAAAATGAATCCCGCTGATCTGATTTCGCGAGGGTGTTCCCCTAAGAAATTGTTAGAATCCTGCTGGTGGAAAGGCCCGGCATGGTTGTTGCAAGCAAGAGACAACTGGCCTGACACCGAAATATTGATAACGGAAACACCCGAAATAACACTTGAAAGGAGAAAGGTTAGGTTATGTAATATTAATTTGTCGGAAGAGAGAGTCCCGTGGTATGCCATTAAATTCTCAAATTTCCATTCAATAGTTAGAATGGTTGCATGGATATTGAGATTTATCAGTAATGTAAGATCGCATCATGATACTAGACGGGGGGGGGGAGAACTTCTAACGCAGGAGATTGAAAATGCTGAAATTCTGCTTATTCGTAATGTGCAAGCTCAATTTTTTCCTAGTGAAACCTCTTTTCGGAACTTGTGTGTTTTCAAAGATGTGAACGGAATTATCAGAGTTAAAACTCGAATTACTGAACGCATAGATAAGCCTTTCTTCATTTCACCTATTCTTCTTCCTGATAAATGTATCTTTACTCAAAGACTGATTGAATATTTTCACCGAGAAAACTGTCATGCTGGAACCCAGATATTACTAAGCATATTGCGTGAAAAGTACTGGATTACAAGAGGAAGAAGAGCGATACGTAGTGTTTCTGAAGGACTGTATTAAATGTCGACGATACAAAACTAAATCTCATCATTCAGAAATTTCTGGGTCACCCCGATCTCCGGAC